TCCGGGAATCGGGCTTTTCGAGTGTCTCTTTTGCTGGGGGAGTGTGCCGAGGAAGGCAGGCAGGCAGGCGCGGGGCATGGGGCCGGTCGGCGGACGGGGTGGGGGTGTGGAGGGTCCCCGATGGAGCCGGAATGAGTGGGCGAAGCGAGGCCGGGGGAGTCCGCGGGGCGCCTTCGGGAGAGCCCGGCGAGGCGCGAGGAAGTCGGACAGGTTGCCGGGAAGTGGGTGCTGCGGCAGGAAGGGCGCTCCCTCGGGATGGGGCCGGAGCCCGCCGGGGGGCAGCGGGAGGGGCGTGGGAACTCCGCGTCTGGCGGAAGGGAAGCGGGGCCGGGAGGCTGACCGCGTGGTCAGGCTCGGGCCGGCGAGAATCCAGGTTCGAATCCCTCACCTCTGCCCGTGGAAACTCGCTGGGGGACCTTGGGCCAGTCCCCAGGCTCTCCGCCCGGCCTACCTCACAGGGTGGTTGTTGGTGAGGAGGAGATGGAGGAGGGGAGGACAGATGTGAGTCTGAACAGTCAAGGAAGCCAGCCTGGCCTGGTGGTTAGAATGTCAGAGGGGGATGTGGGAGACCTGGGTGTACCGTGGAAGTTCACTGGGTGACTTTGGCCAAGTCACGCGCTCTCCGCCTGGCCTACCTCACAGGGTTGTGGTAAGGATAAAACAGAGGGAAACTATATGAGCTGCTTCGGGGGGGCATTGGGGAGAAAGGAGGGGTGGGCCTAAGAAATAGCATTAATTTTTAGGGAGAAAACTGACAGGACACCTCACTTAGAAACCTGCTTGAGGTGCAGAAAGTACAACAGCCTCTCCACCATGATATTTTTCTTAAAGTCTTCTTTCTGGCCCTCTCCCTGAGAGTTGAGGCAAGTGACAACCCCGTGCCTTGCCATTAAATTTTACAACAACCCCTATCGGGCAGGTTAGACAGAGACACAGAGAGAGAGAGGGAGATCAGCCAAAGATCTCAGCAGGTCGGAGATTTGAAAACTGGGCTGCGGCATTTGAAAAAAAAAACCCACAAGCAGGGGCAGAGTGATTTCGGAAATGGCCCAGAAAAGTTCTCGGGATGAAAGGAGCAGGCGTGGAAAGGAAGGTTTTGCAGAGCCATCGGGGTGATCGAATCCCAATAAGGGTGTTCCAGGGATTAAGGAAATGGAGCAACCTTTGGGTGTGGCCTGGAGGACCCCAAACTTGAAGTTAGGGTGGTAGACAGATGAAGGATGCAGAAATAGGGGAGGGAGGAACCGGCTGGCCACTGCGTGAGACAGGACGCTGGACTAGATGGACTACTGGTTTGACCCAGCAGGGCTTTTCTGATGTTCTTAAAATTATAAGCGCCTTGGGGAGGTGAGGGAATCCCCTGCCTCCCTGGAAGGTTGCATGTGGAGCTTTAAGCTGCATCCCATTTTAATATTGTTCTAGAGGCTAATTTCTGGAGGGAGGTGGAAATGTCAGTCTCTGAGTGGGTGCAATCCTGTTTCGTCCCATCACGAATACATGAAGTTGCTTCATACTGAGTCAGGCTCTTTTGCCTATAAGAATCACTGTTGTCTACTCAACTGGCAGCCAGTCTCAGATACAGGACTTTCATACTGGAATCCTTTTTTTAATGGGAGATGCCCGGGACGGAACCCCCCCGGGACCTTCTCTCTCCAAAGCAGATACTCTGCCACTGAACCCGAGCCCCACTTGTGGCAGCAAAATGACACTCTGCGCATGCTCAGAAAAACCCTCGCTTTCCCGGCCACTTCTTATCATCCAGAGATCTAGGTGGGGTGCCGGTCAATTCCTGCTCGCTTGCTGTGTGGAGTTACTACAGCGATGAGTTATCACATGCATTTCCTGGCCTCTGTTCCTCTTTCTGCTCTTGGGTCTCAGAGGGAGGGGTTGCTTTGCTCGGTTGGGGGGAGTTTCCAACGGGGGTTTCTTCTCTTTTAACAACTGTCTAACAGACAGACGTTTCACAGGTGCTGCTTTTCTCAGCATGGCAAGAAAGGCTCTCCCCCTGTTCGACTGCTATGCTTTCCCTGGAAGAAAGGGATTTAAAATATATATATTAGTACATTTATGCCCTGCCTTTCTTGCCAATGGGGAGCCAAAGCGGCTGACAGGTGTTCTCCTCTCCTCCGTTTTATCCTCACAACGACCCTGTGAGGTAGGTCAGATGGAGGGCTGCGTGACTGCCCCAAGGCCACCCACCAGGCTTCCGTGGCAGAGTGGGGATTCGAACTTGGGTTTCTCCGATCCTAGTCTGACCCTTTAACCCCTGCAGTTTCTCTAGAAAAGCATCTCCCGGGATCCATGGATCCCGTGTTCTATGCCCGGTGCAGGAGAGCCGCTGGGATTCCTGCCTGGGCGCTCAGCTCCGGCTCTAGGCCTCGCGTTGCTCTTGCCTCATTGTCATTCGTGGCTCAACCAGAAACTCAATTTCACCTGCACCAGCAAGATGAACCGGCAAGACCCACGGGTCCTCTCCCTCTCGCTGCGGAGGCACACACGCCTCGTGGCATTAGCTCACCTGGGCTGTCTCCATTAGGTACCTGGCAGGGACAAGGGCGGGACGCAGAGGAAGGTGACTAACTTTTTCCTCACTGAGGGATGTTCCCAGAGAGGCCCTCCCCACCACCGTAGGCACACCACGGGCTGCTCTCCACGCCTCGCTTCGTTCCTGAAGACTTCCAGGCGTTCCTCTGCCTGTCCTTGTAAGGTTTAAGGTGGCCCTAAAAACCTTCTTCTAGGTCTTTGCCCTAGAGCTGATCCGGAATACTGAAGGGCCTCTGAGCATGTTTGGTGTCGTGGTGAAGTGCGCGGACTCTAATCTGGGAGGACCAGGTCTGAGTCCCCACGCCTCCACTTGCAGCTGCTGGATGACCTTGGGCAAGCCATAGTTCTGACAGAGCTGTTCTTGAAAGAGTACAGTTTCTGTCAGAGCTCTCTCAGCCCCCACCTGCCTCACAGGGTGTCTGTTGTGGGGAGGGGAAGGGAAAGGAGACTGTAACCCGCTCTGAGACTCCTTCGGGTAGTGAATCCAATCCAGTCTCTTCTTCTTCATGTGCAGAGTGCATTTGGTCCAGCATTGGGGTATTCAGCCTCTAGGAGCTTGCCCCTTAAAACTTTCCATGGTTAGCAGAAAGGATGTTCTGGACAGGGGGGTAATGTCCAAACCTTCTCTCTTTTCCAAAAGAGAAGAGCTGGACCCCTTCTGATTACACATGAAGCTGCCCTACAAGAAAAAATATCACAATAAACATTTATTCTATAGTGTACACAATAGTAAAATTCAAAAGATAGGGCCTGGATATCGGGCCGCATTATATGCATTAACCATATAATAAATATTTTCTTATCTGCTGTAGCTTGACCCTTGTAGCATGAGCAGTATATTCCGGGCCGATTTTGTTTCCCCTTTCCCTTTGCTTGCTGCCTTACACCGAATCTGACCCTTAGTCGATCAAGCAGTGTTCCCTCTAAGCTGAGTTAGTGTGAGCCAGCTCACAGTTTTTTAGCCTCCGGCTCACGCATTTTTGTCTCAGCTCAGGAAGGATGGGGCTCCAGAGCAAACTCACTGATGCAGTAGCCAACTCGCTCACTCACAACTTTAAGGCCAGTAGCTCACAAAACAGTGTTCCCTCTAAGCTGAGTTACTGTGAGCTAGCTCACCATTTTTTAGCCTCCAGCTCACACATTTTTGACTCAGCCCAGGAAGGAGGGCTCCAGAGCAAACTCATTGATGCAGTAGCCAAATTGCTTGCTCACAACTTTAAGGCCAGTAGCTCGCAAGGTAGAATTTTTGCTCACAGGACTCCACAGCTTAGAGGGAACACAGCTCACAAAGTAGAATTTTTTGCTCACAACAAGACTCCGCAGCTTAGAGGGAGCGTTGCTGTCAAGGTCTACTCAGACTGTTCTTTCGCTTCACCTCCTGTGTTTGTGCAAAGCGCTGTTAAGTTGCAGCCGATTGCTGGCAACCACGTATGGTTTTCAAGGCAAGAGCCATTCAGAGGGGGTCGGCCATCGCTTGCCTCTGCACAGAGTGACCTTGGACTTCCTTAGTGGTCTCCCCTCCAAGTGCAATCCAGGGCTGACCCTGCTTAGCTTCCCAGATCTGATGAGAACCGGGTCAGAGACCCGGTTCTTTCAACAGGACTTGCTGGGGACTGAACCGGGGACCTTCTGCATGCCAAGCAGAGGCTCTAACACTGAACCACCGGGCCCTTCCCCTTGCCATCGAAGGGTCTCTGGTTTCAGGGCTGGTCCGCTCCTAAGATGATGTCGGTCTCCCTAAGGCCATGCTGGCCTTCAGGGACAGTGGTGTGGCCCAATGGTTAGAGCACATGCTTTGCACATGGAAGATCCCCGGTTAAATCCCTGCCATCTTCATTTAAAGGATTTCAAGTGCTGGGAAAGCCCTTTCTCTGCTGGAAAGCTATTAGCAGTCAGGGGAGAGAATACTGAGCTAGACGAATCCAGGGTCTAACTGGGCAGAGGAGAAGAAGAAGAGTTGGAGCAGGGCTCTTTTTGTAGCAGGAACTCCTTTGCATATTAGGTGACACACCCCTAATGTAGCCAGTCCTCCAAGAGCTTACAGAGCTCTTCTTACAGGGGCTACTGTAAGCTCTTGGAGGATTGGCGACATTAGGGGTGTGTCGCCGAATATGCAAAGGAGTTCCTGCTACA